ACTGTCAACAATGGAGGCTGAGCCAGACAGAGCTCCTGCTACCCCAGACTTAGGTGGGATTTTGGCAAAGGTCTGTCTAGAGTAGCTTAGAGCTGCTCCTTTCTTAAACGTACCTATATATACCTTCAGTCCCATACACTGGGTCTCGCGCATGTCAGTCCCACGTCTTGCATTGCTCCATTGCTGCCCTCCCTCTCTGCGGCTCTGCAAATCCACCCTGTGCCATCCCTCCAGTTGCCTGTATTGTCCCAGGCCTGGATGGGTCTGGAGTTCCACCAAAGCACAAGTCCTGACCTATAGCTGTTTCTGTATCTTTCTTGTCTAGCTTGTATCTATCTTGGCTTTCTGGCCCAGTTCTGCTCGTATCCCTTGCTCCTGGGCTGTGGCACTCCCTGCTCGTGACATTGTATGCAAAGGGGTGGATTTGAGGTCTTGAACGAGAACGTTATTGGGTGGTGCCTTTGTGGAGAAGTCTATTGAAAATTAATTATATGGCCCCTACTTACCTTGTGAGGGAAACCTGGCGGGGGGACACTTGGGTCACAGTTGTCCTTCTCAGGATCTCATGATCCCACTCCCTGCAAGGCAGGGCCTCAAGCTGTTGCCCTGGTAATTCCCTGAAACTGCCTCAGTTGTTCCAACATCAGCTGGGCCCTATGGAGCTCTGTGCCTGTGCAGGCAGTGATGGGGCTGGTGGAGGCACCACTAGCTCTCTGACAGCAATCCTTTTTTACTCAGGCCAACAGCAAGCCAGGAGAAAAAACTTTTTTGCAGTGCCCAGTTGTCCAGGTGGTCATTTCTCTCTCTGTTGGGAGATCCTGGAAAGCCCCAAGTGTCTCAGGCCTGCACGGAGGTTATCTCTGGGTTTTGTGCTCAGGTGGAGGGTGTCTTTCTGCTGAGCCACATGCTGCTATTTGGTACATTTCAAGTCCTTCTGTTGCTCAGGCCTTTCGAGCACATCAGGCCAGTCTAGCTGTGATCCTTAAGCAGAAGGGTGAATCTTCAAATGACAGCGTTGTCGTTTTGGGAGAATTTGCATTAATTATCAACCCCCATTGCCTTGAGTTCAATTCCCCGTTTAGCAAGGAGTAAATCGCTACGGCATTGCACTTACAGCATCACATTGCTGTCTGCAACCACTTTGTGTTTCCTTCGCCTTGCTCACAAGTCGATCTTGGAAAGGCAAATATGTAGTCAAAGCTTCCAGCCAAAATTTCCCTTGCCACTAGCATTCTGAGTGAATTTTAAACCAAAAGCACCAAAAGACGTTGACTGCGCCCTTCTGTGGCTGGCTGTGAACTTGGGTCAGACTAGCATTAGGTCCTCCTCCCTTCCTTAATACTTCCTGTGGCCAGCTCGCTTATGGGCTCTCCTCCCTCTTGAGTGCTGCGGATAACCATAGGTGTGGAGGAAAGGACTGGATCCAAATCCACCCCAGGGTCTTTGCGGTGGCTGGAGTGAGAAGTCTGCTGAGGTCAAGCAGAGCCAGGCTTGATCAAGAATCACCTTGTGGTGTGAAGTCCATGGAGATCCTGAAGCACGTTCCCTCTTTCTTGAGTACTTTGTGTAAGCTGCTATCACAGTTGCCCCTCGACTTACAGATGACACCTCCCCTGGCCAGGCTGTGTGAATTTGGCTCCTCTCCCCATGGCCCTCATTTGAGGAGGTGACACTGGGCCTCCTGAGCGCAGGCCTTCGCTCTAATTGCAGGTGTTGCTGCACTGGAGAGGGGAGGGAAGGGCTGCCCCAGTATTGGTCCTTTTCTCGTAGTTTGTGCACGGTGCGGGAGGTTGTCTGAGTGACTTCACGGGTCGCCTTTGTGCAGTACTAGATATGCAGCAGACCTACGACATGTGGCTAAAGAAGCACAATCCTGGGAAGCCTGGAGAGGGGACACCACTCACGTCGCGAGAAGGGGAGAAACAAATCCAGATGCCCACAGACTATGCTGACATCATGGTAATAGCTGATCTCTTGTCCTTCCTCCCTCCTCCTCTTCGGCGCTGCCAGCCTGCACCTCTCCTGTGCTGCTAGCAGAGACTGAGTTCCTCTCCTGGGAAAGAGCTTGTGCTAATATATGTTAAATTGACAGCTGGGAGCAGCACAGCGAGGGCAGCAGAGATGAGGTGGGAAGGGATTGACCCACTCAGCAAGGCTCTGCTGAGGCTTTTCTGTTAATCCTGGAGTAACAGGATTCTGTTAATCCGTAGAAGTGTACTTCAGATTCCCATTTGCATGGGTCCAGCCTCTTCCCAGGGTCCCTGCTTGCTCTTGGGAAAGCTGGCAAAGCCATTGCTGGCCTGTTGGAAAAGGGAGGAAGGCTTGGAGGAAAAGAGCACAGAGCACAGAAGCCTGGGAAATCTGCATGCAGATGTGTCTCCTGAGCCCAAGGATAGTCGCCGGCATCAGGACTCGTGCTCCTGAGGAGTCCTGCATGGCCTGTGCTCCTCAGTGCCCTGCAGCTGGACTCTACAGGCTATGTCAGTTTACTGAGCTGTCCTGTCCTCTGAAGCTTAGTTTGAGCTGTAGATAGGCCTACACAGAGCACCTCTTCTGCTCCCCCTTAGTGGCAGCACAATGCCCCTGAAGATGACATGTCAGGGAAGTAGGGGAGGCCATAGACTGAGAGCGGAGCATCCAGGGTGCTCTGAGAGGAGCAGGGGAGAGGGAATGCCAACATGGGGAAGGCTGATGGGCATCAATATTAATGCACTGACTGGCATGTCTGCACCGATTAGATGGGCTACCACTGCTGGCTCTGCGGGAAGAACAGCAACAGCAAGAAGCAATGGCAGCAGCACATCCAGTCAGAGAAGCACAAGGAGAAGGTCTTCACCTCAGACAGTGACTCCAGCTGCTGGAGCTACCGCTTCCCCATGGGCGAGTTCCAGCTCTGCGAAAGGTACTGCACGTGCTATCTCATTTCCCTTGCGTGCTGCTGCTGCAGGGAAGGGGGAGACTGGCCCAGGGCCTCCATCATCCCTTCTCCTTCTCCTTCTCCTCTTCCCTCTCTCATGGAGTCCCCAGGGGCTTCAGCTCGGAGGAGCGGTGGGACAAGCTGCCAGTCGGGGGTGACAGTGAGGCTCTGCTGCCAACAACAGAGATGCTCAGCCACACTACTTGATGGTTTAAAAAAAGAAAAAAAAATCCCTGAGCATGTGTCTTTAGAAAATGAGAGGGAACTTCATGTCTGCACCTGTGTCCTCTGTAGCCAGGATCCTCTCATCTCTCTCAGTCTAAACAGTGTCTATTTGGCCCAGTTCTTGTGGGAATCCCAGGTGCTTTATTAAGTGGTTCAAATGTCTCACACCCTCTGAATCAGTGCCTTGAGGTGTCTTCAGAAGGCTTATGATGGCTAGAAATGCCATTTTGGTTAGAGAGATGGCTGTGTCCCTCGTGGCTGTTTAGAGTTACATAGCATTTCCTCTCTTGTGTAGTTGTTTCTTCTCATGCCTGCTGGTCCAGTTCCAGCTCACGTCATTTCTGTTGACTAAATGCCCCCATAGACTGTTCATTGCCCTGTTTCTGTGCCCAGCCTCCATGTTGCCTCCCTCTGGCTGCACACTGATTGTAGGAGAATCATCTCTCCCTTAGAAGGGAGAGTTTGCAGCGTATTTTGGTGGGACCCAGTCGAGCATCGCACATGGGGAGCTCAAAGCCCTGCCCTTGCAGGGGTAGCCTCCTGAACGGTGCTCCTTATGCTGGCAGGTTTCAGAAGAGCAAGGCCTGCCCTGAAGGAGAAGAGTGTCGCTATGCTCATGGCCAGGACGAGCTGACGGAGTGGCTAGACCGGAGAGAGGTGCTGAAACAGAAACTGGCCAAAGCCCGCAAGGACATGCTGCTGTGCCCCAGGGATGACGACTTCGGGAAATACAACTTCCTATTGCGGGATGGCGTATAGTAAGGGTTGGGGGGAGCCTGTCAGCTAGAGAAACACGGGGCAGGTTTTCTGAGAGTGGCAGTAGCAGGGAGAGTGAGATCCATATCTCGCAAAGAGAACTTTTTCTTTTCTTTCGTTTTAAGATTACGAGACGATGATTTATTAGTGGTGAATGAAATCGTGAATTTGATTCTCCTTGGCCAGCGAACGCCGTGCTCACTGAGTTCGTGTTCCATCTTCTCTCTCTTACCCCTCCCAGTTCCTCTTCCTCTCCATCTTTCTGTTTTCTCTGCCCTTTATTTAAGGAATGAATTCTGTCTGTACTGGGGTGCGAAGTGGAAAATTTCTCCTTGTCATTCCCCTGCCCTTCAATTCCAAGTGTGGCTGCAGAGGTCAGGAGGACAAACAGGGAGGGAAAGCTGAGAGAAAGAGCTAGACATCTGGTAAAAGGGTGACCATGAAGTTTGTGTGCTCCTTTTTTCAGAGCTGCAGAGCAAGCCCCGCTTACACGGCTGCAAACTGGCCCACTCTCCTGGGAGTTCAGTACCAGAAGAATTGGGAACTGAGATGCAGAGTAGGGAAGTCACTAGATTGGCTTAAAACATCAGGGCTTAAGCCCCTGCTATATATGTTCCCCTGAGGCATCAGCTGGAGCTGAGGAAGGTATGAGCCATTTGGTGTAGAGCGTAGCAACAGTATGCTGCAGTGTTGCAGCAGTGGGAACTTAATGGTAGGTGACTTTAGCCTGTTTTGATTGACTGTACCCCCCGAGGGGTCAAAGTAACTGATGACCCCTCCCTCGTTAGGTATCTTTCTCAAATATGCAACAGATATTGGGGGTTGGTAGCTTTGGTTTAATTTTTTGGCTGATGTGACTGGTGCAAATAAGACTGAAGCCATCTAGAAGGTGTAGTGGAGAGCGTGGCACACTGTGGCACTGTACTCCATGCTGGAATATCAGTCAGGAAAAAAGGCTGTAACCAAAAGGAGCCTGTATTTCTATGTCAGCTTCTGTCCTGAAGAGAGGGAGGGAGGTAATGGGGTTCCCTTCTTGCTCTTTAAATGGTGGGTGTGTGTAACTGGTTATTTAGAGCTATGTTGTTTCCTGTGCTGCCAGAGGAACCGGGTAGGAGTCCATTTGAAAGGACAGTGTTAAGCAGCCTGGGTCTAACACGGAGGGCTTGGCTCTGGCGACGCTTTGCTGCAGGGAATCCAGCTGGAAGTCACTTACAGGTGCTGGGGCTGGGGGTGCAGCCCCCTCCTCCTCTGAGCTGGGGCCGGGAGCTGGCAGGCACACAGCGCAGCAGTGGGGAGAGCGAGCCAGGATGCGGCCCTGGGCAGGGACCATGGCTGCGGGCAGAGGGCAAGCAGCACAGCAGGACCCAGCTGTGCGCCTGCTCCTGTCCCGCCTGCCATACGCTCTGCGGTGAAACAGGCCAGGTCAGCCCTGACAGGGAACCAAGGAGGCTGAACTCTGGGCCAGGACTTTTGGCTTTCATAAAGGCAGCGGTGAGAGGCAGTACTTCTCCGTATGCCAGCCTTGTTCTTTCTGGCAGTCCCATCCCGTAAGCGGTAAACGTGTGTCCTTGTCTCTCCTCTCTGACTGCAGCCCGATGGTGCTCTGCAGTTTTGTATGCATGGATGGCACCATCCACTCCAACACAAATACATCTCCCTCTCTGCCTTTGTGGGTGATGTCTTTCTGTATGGAGTCTCCCAGAACTGCGTGTGGTGGTTTGGCGTTGCTGGGTCCCTTTTCTCCCTCCCTGCTCCAATATCCTTGGGATCCCCAGCTTCAAGAGAGGGCGGATGTGGAAATATGCAGGTGCTGTGGGGGCAGCTGGCACCTTTCTAATAGCTGCCTCAGCTCTGCCGGCGTAGTTATGGCCCAGGAGCAGGGTGAGCTGCGTTCTGGTCTTGGGTCTTTCCAGTGATATTGTGCGCTCCAAATAACCAGTGCCTCGGAGCTTGTTTCCTCTCTTGTAAAATGTAGATGGCGTTTACTGGTGTGGTATGAGCTTCCCTTCTTGGCTGTACAACACTTTGGGGTCTGGCCTGGAAGGAGCCAGCACTGTAACATCTGCTGATATACTGGTGGCTTATGATAGATCTGTGAGAAGAGGGAAGTGGTTATTCTCACCTCTGACTGCATGCAGGGAGAAGGAAGAGATGTGGAAGGATCCTTATTGCCCGTAGCACTGCCAGGCATGACAGTTTTTGAGCAGACAGGTGCTGTATTTTCTCCTCTGCCCTTTGTTGTAGCTGTCTGGATCGTACTTTCTCCTGGTGCTCTTTGTGCTGAACTGGTCAACTTTATAAACTGTGAGAGCTGGGGAGGAGGAAGTAGGCATCAGCTTCGGGATTATCTTGTTCTGTTGTTCTTGGACAGAGATGCCAAGGAAGCGAATCTGGATTGGGGAATGTTGGAATGTGTTTTTATTTTTAAGACAAATCCGCATCTCTAGTGTCACTCTAGCGTTCGCTGCACCATGGTTTGTAATACAATAACTTGTTTAGGTTACTGAGCAGGTTGCTTTCCCCTCTCCTTGTCTCTTGGAGAGCTCAGGCGCTCGGCGGGCCCTCCACCCCACCCTGACGGAGGTGCAGAGCGGGGCCGAGAGGAGGGGAGGGCGAGCATGCCTTAGGCGAGGGAGGCCCACGGTCAAGGGTGTTGCATTGAGTATCTCTTTTTGTTTCCCTGATATGATAACCTGGTCTGTGGTGTTGCAGTACTTTGTCACCAGACTTGTTTTAGTGTGTATATATGTGACCCCTCCCATAAAGCATATATACACAGGTATTAAATATATTGCTCTATATAATATTATATGTGTGTGGTATCGAAAGAATCTTTTTAATGAGGGTAAAGGAAAAGGACTCGGGCAAGGAAACGCAGCATCTCCGGTTTAAATATGAAAACTTCTATTTGGGTTAGGGAAAGGGAATTATTAAAGAGGGGAGGGTTTTATATAGATAGGTATAAATTTTGAGATGGGACAGGTTTCCCTGTTCATGCTTTTGAAAGCCCCCTGGGATGTCCTTGCAGTCCCATCTCAGTGAAAGAGTATTATACCGCTAAGCTTGTGAATAAAGTTTTAATGGTAAGTCTTTTGCTTATGTTATTTAAAGGGACGTTGTGAAAGGCAGGAGGCTTCACACTTGACTTTCCAGGCTCGCTTTATGAAGTCAAGGGATTTTCTTTGGCATGTTATGTACTCTCACCAGAAATGCTCAAGAGCTAACAGCTCTACAGCAATTAAACCACAAGTAAGTTGTAGGACTGTTTCAGTGGTGCATTCATGAGACCCTGCAATAACTCTCCCTTTTCTGTATTCATGTAAGAGGAGAGGAAAATTTTGCGATGCAGAACCAAATCTGAGGGTAATTAACAAAAGAAGTCATGTTTTAATTTTATAGCATTAGAAGAAAATCTCCTGTCCCTTAAAATAACCACACATACACTCACATGAAATAGACTTTGATTTAGCTCAGCTTATTAAATGCTGAAGGACTTAGTGAAAATCCTTTCCCATATCCTGGGAGGGATTTATATGACGCTGGTGTTGGAGCTAACATGACTTTTATGGGGGAAGAGGAAAACCAAAAATACCCTACTTAGTTTGTATGAAATTGTATGTCAAAAAAGGATGGGTTTTAGCAAGTGAAAGGAGAAGATAGCAAGGGGATGCTGCAGTTCTGAGCTGGATAGTAATGATTTCGAGTCCTTTAATACGTCTTTGTATTAATATAATTTAAGAATACCACGCTTTACTATTAAAAAAAAACTTAGTATCTTTCATAAGGTCTAGTATCGGGATAATAATGTAGATGTTTTAACAACATTTTTGGTTTTGTTCTTAAATAAAAAACAAACCTGCTTCTTTTAGCCTTTGTAATAGAAAATAAAAGTGTGCACTTTAAACCCTCTCCTGATATAGAGTTTGCATTTTTCAAATAGCCCACAATGGCTTTATCCAGGTTTCAGATTTCCCTACTCTAATGAGGAAAACAAAGGTGGAAGAAAAAGGGGACTTCAGGCATTGAATCGATTACATCTCGTACCATCCTTCAGTATAATCTACTACTCTTGTTGAGTGGAAAATTGCATGTGTGTGCCTGTGTATATAAACAGATGTGCTGTAGTTCTTCATCAGACCCGCAGTTCTTGGGTTAAAGATTTTAAGATTTTTGTTTCTGTCCCCCAAGCACCAGGAACCTCTTAATACAGACTCTGTATTAACACACAGATCCAGGTATTTGGGTAACGTGTGTTTTGAAACCTCCGGTAATCAGGTCTTGTAATCACCTCAGTCCAAAGGTTGTTCTCCTGTATAGACTGGTCTGTTAAAACAGGGTCAGCCCATTCTTTTGCCTGACAGAGTGCACTCTGCCAGGGAAGATGCCCTTAGTCTTACCCAACACGTCTCATGCAGCTCAGGCTGTGAGAAGTATCTCTGCAGATTCCTGGAGAGGATGCTGTGTGGTAAGGATCACACCTGGGGCAAGAGGTCAGTGTGAAAACATTTGTTAATAACACTTCTTTCACTAATCTGTCCTGATGCATGTTACTCTGGGATTCCCAATGAAGCCAGCATGTGGCGGGACAAGGAAGTCCCATAGGGACACCCTACTACTGCTGTATAAATTGCTAGAGTGACCAGAAGGTCATATTCAGTGAGACCTGAGCAGAGGAGGGTTGTTATGTGTCTCCCTGCTGTGCTTGGATACAAACAGGACAACTCAGGTCTTTCTGGTCTAAGGAGGAGATGTCTGAATGTAAGCTTGTAGCGCAGAGGGAATGAGGAGCAAGATGCAATTTCAAGGTTCATCTACTGAGCGTTTGCACATACAACTTGAGAGGTGTTAGTTTTTACCCTCTGCAGAGTTACTGTCTCCTATATCTGTCCGTCCAGTTCTGACCTCTTGGGCTGTGGTGCTGCAGGATACCTGCTCCTGCCGGGGCCAGCGTTGTTCTCAGGACAGATGAGAGGTGAGTGATACAGCCTGCAAAGGGATGGCCGAGGAATGGCTGAGATCACTGACACCCAGCCTCTTCGTTTTGAGGAGTAAGTGTGCAGAGGGGTGTATATCTTCCTTCACCCAGGCTCCTTGCTGACCTGTCCAGTGGTCTCCTGTGGACCCTGGCAGCTGTCCAGCAATTGTTCTCCTTGGATTTCCCCATCCTGCTTT